AACATCCTTCGCACCCAGCACCTGCTCAATTGAAACATCATTCTCTGCTCACACCAATCAGGTGATTATTGCCAAAGAGAAAGATTAAACAAAACATAAGCAACATGGTAAGTTAATTTATAAAAGAATAAAGATATGTAGTTCAATCAATTTCAGATTATAACAGTTCCATTATCCAAAAACATATATTTAGACTCTAGACTTTGACCATCCGGATACATGTATTTATGTCAGACTCTTGGAGGACCTACGCATGTGTGGTGAAAACAACATACCACCCAAACTATCACACAAGGTTAATCCGTCAAACACCTCAGTCAAATTGACCCAAGGCTAAAGATTTCTTGCTACTCCTCACCACATAACCATCCCTCTTGAATTGATATTGGGCGGCTATTAGAGTGTTTGAAAGATTCCTCCATTTTAGAGCCCATACAATACATTACACTAAGCACAAGACATGTATAATTCTATCACAAAGTTTACATAGGAAATCTAAACATTCATACATTAAAAGTGTATATAGATCATTCAGAGTAAACTTAAGTACCAAAGCAAGAATTGGAAAACCATAAAAGCAAAAGAATCTCAAAGCAAGTAGAGTTTGGAAAAGCAGACTACTGTTGAGTGGCACACCCTTATAGTTGAGTGCCATTCTTCGCACAAAATTGGCGCCTGACTGCCACCATGGTGTAGTTGAGCACCAAAGCTCTTAGATTTTTGGTGCTTGAGCACTGCTTAATGTCGTTGAGCACCATAGTAGAAGTTTAGAAACTTCAGAATTTGATCTAGATGTACACAAGACCTATTCAATTGATCCAACTTTTATCTTTAACACTCAATTTGATTTGAAAAACATGTTTATTCTTCAAATTTGATACCAATTGGCTAAACCCAAATATCCAAAAAAGTATACATCAAACTTGACATGCTACCAACTAGATTTTAGTGAACTAATTAGCTAAACAAGTCTTAAATGGCCCAACAACAAACCCTAAGAATCAGATTTACCCATTCAACCATTCCTTCAAAGTTTCACCTATCAAAACCCCTCTATTTAGACCAAAACTAGCATACAACATTACCTTTTTACTACTTTCAATTCTACAACAGTTTTGTACTTAATTAAACTTCAAAACAACAACATTCAAGGTTCAATCAAATACCAATTCACAACCATACATATCAATATGCTTCAATAGACAACATTCACTCATTAATACACAAACATCACTCAATAATCATCTCAATTGATAACATATTCAACCAAACATTAATCTCAAAACTTATCTAACAAACATTCATACTTCTTAACATGAATTTAAAGCAATTATTAGCTTTTCTAACCTGGTTGGAAAGCTCAAACAGATTTTGAAAGCAAATTACCCCTACCTTAGCTTAGATAACTCTATCTGTACCTATAGAACGTATAATTTTGATCAAAGTAGATCATTAGGAGCAATGATCAACAAGGAACACACAAGAACTTTAGGAATATGAAGCTTTTCGCATGCATGAAAGAAAATCATTTCAAGAAAAGAGTAAAAACTAACTTACTCTTTCTAGAAAATCGATATGATGAAGTTGAAGATATCACTATTGTGATCATCTAGGTACTTTCTGATCGTCAAAGAGATGACTCAAGAGTTAGAAAACTTAGAGAGAAGGGAGAGAAAGTCTAGAGAAAAAGTTCTAGAGAGATGATACATGTTTTAGATAATGAGACGTCTTTCTAAATTTCTTTTTGTATTATCGAACTTTTAACATTAAAATATTATAATCTTATTAATTTAAAATACCTATCAACTTTAATACTCTATTTTCTATGTTTTTACAACAATTATAAGTGAGTGAAGACAAATGAGTAAAGAAGAAGACAAACACTATATAATAATGAGAGAGATATCTTATACCATTAAACACTCTTAATCTATTTTATTGCATTAAACAACAAAAATTTTATATCAAAGTTTTATTAAAATAATATTCACAATTGTGAGTTTTATTTTCCGAAAAATAATATTTAATATTTAGATAGTGTTGGAAGTCCCACATTGACTAGAGATAACACCAATTTATAATATATAAGTAGTTGCAAACCTCACCTTACAAGCCAATTTTGTGGAGTTGAATTAGGTTTAAAATCCACTTTTTGCCAATTTATAATATATAAGCATGTGCAAACCTCACCTTACAAGCCTGTTTTATGGGATTGAGTTAAGCTTAAAGTCCACTTCTTAACAGATAAATACTTTTTTACAAAGATAAGTCACATAGTAGTAGTTGAAGTCTCACAAATAAAAAAAATCCTCAAACATATTCATTGTATGTTAGCTACTCTTAACTAGTGAAACATTTTTAATATTTTTCTCCTTCAAAACTTTCTAAAGCAATATCAAAACTAATAATTCATCTTTAGTATTAGTGAAAATTCCTTCCCTATTTCTACTCAAATTTCTCAACAATTTCTATATTACCATATTATTTTCGTACTAATATAACTAATTATAAGTTTTGATGATGTGATAGATGCCTATGTAGATCTTTTTGTGATTTAGTAAAATTAGTTTGAAAAAAAATTGTTTTTAAGTTGAGCGTTTGTAAACACTAGGTTAAAGAAAAGAAATAAAATTTGATTTTATTCAAAAGTTATAAAAGTTATTCTCACCGTAACAATAATGCAAAGTTGTCTTTAAATTCATTGAATTTCTAACTGTTCTCTTCATCTCCGTATATTCTGTTGAGTTTACTTTAAAATTCCGGCTTAAAATAATTCAAATAATCGCTTAAAGTTATATAAAACGTGCACACTTAAAAGTAAACGATAGTATATTTTATAAGTTAGCAACGATAATGTCTAAAACTATCACAAAGAAACTGCATCACGCAACTGTGCTTAGATCAAAATCACAGCATTTCGGAATATATCCGTTATTTTCTTACGTGGATATGCTAATCAATAAGTTTACCCAAATTGTATATAAGTTTCGATACGATAAAATAAATAGTTTTTAAAATACTCATTTCCTTCAGGTAGATAACTATTTTATTGAAAAGTAAAAATTATTTATTTCTAATTAAACAGATACAAAAACTTATATCTATTAATTTTTGCTTAAAAAATAATTTTAAATTATTTTAATTCTAAATATATTGAAATAGTAAGATCAATCACTGTATCTGAATATTGTTTGTCATGATAAGTTGGATCTGAATTCTTTTAAAAAGGTATTGTCTTATCAAGTGGGATCTGAATTAAATAAGACTACTTCCATGTTATAAAAGAATTTAAAAATGATCACAAAAACTAGGGTAACACGTCACGCTACTACATTTACGATCATACCACATGCCAAAGGAATATTCCTCTTATGCCATTTACTTTCCTACTCCGATGGTAGATAGACATAGACTTTTTGACATATAATAATATCTGCCATGAATCCAATACGAAAATACAAAAATGACGTCCTGGAACGGCCATCTTGATCTTGACTTAAACTAAAGCACTTTTAGAAACTTTTTCGGTAACGATTTATCATGACAATGACAAGTCCATCAATCATCAATCATAATAAATTGATAAGTGATATTTTTATAATAAAAATAAAAATTTAATTATAATAAATAAAAGTAAACTTATCATAATAAGTTGATCAGTTTAATTGTTATAACTAGTAAAAATAATAAAAATAACACTTATTATGACTAGTAAAATGTAATATGTCATAACAAGAGAAAAAAAAAACTTAATATGATAGGTTTAATTAACTTGTCACGATAAATTGAACGTAGTGACAAAATTGAAATTATGTTAAAACTATTAGTTCATCAATTATCATAATATTTTTAAATTTTTAATTTGTCTATTGTTTTAGTATCCATAAATACTCTTTATAGAAGTCCTCACATAGAGTCCTACAAGTCGTTGCCTCCCCACATCGTCAGACATAAGACGTCGTTGCCTCTCCACACTGTTGACGAAAGATGTTGTCGTCTCCCACAGCCATCGACAGAATGGTCTATGCCTTATCTATTGCACACGTCTCTCTCCCAAACTCAACCTCATGTTTTGACTTTTAGAGATTTCAACATGGACCTTGATTAACGACAACCTAATTATGGCCTACTTGGAGGTAATCACACTTTACCTTAAGTTGTTCAGCATTAGAGATAATTCCTTTGTCACATGATTGTTCGGTCCAATTTCATGGTTGTTCATTTGCAAGTAGCTCGATTTGCTTTGTCTAAATAACAATTGACCGTTCAATCTTTCTTTGACCGGCGATCATACAATACAATTATTACTATAAATTGTTTCTGATGATCATGTTGACTGGATGCAACAACCTCCAACTTATGTGGCCATCCAAATGATTATAAGGGCTACTTTTGTTGAAGAACATTCTACGATATAAAAACACGTATTTTTTGTCAATCTAGTGACACGGACATAAGTAAATTTATAAGAAGTAAAAGAGAAAATATTGGTGTGATTAATGGTCATGTGCTTAATTTAGGATCTTCTAGAGATGATGCTTCATATAGTAGGTTGAAAACAAGGAGAATAATATTGTTTTCATTTGTAAATATCTTAAGTTTAATACAATTTTTTTAGAGAGTATTTGTAAAAGTTATAAATGTTTATGTATATACAATTTCATGTTTTAAAGTTTGTTGGACAACTTAACTTGTGTATGAAGTTATTTGTTTGAGAATTGTTTGGTCCAGTGATACGAATTGTAGGATATTTATAGGTAAATTGAATAATGGTAAAACAAAATTAGTTTGAAAAAGAAATCTAACTTATTATGATTATATATCTCATTTTACCTTGACCATTCGATCTTTCTAATAATTACGGAGAGATTTTTTATTTTTTCAATTAGAAATTACGTATTTATCGGAGATCTAACATTAATATTCTATGTGCGCAGATCGGGTTTGAGACCCCTAATGGTATTTAACAAACAGGGTTATCCAATGGAAACGTGTGGATATAAGTATACGAGAAAAGCAAGCGAAGTTGGATTTATTTGCATAGTTTTGAATAGTACAGAGAAGAATGGGTTGTCATAGAGTAGTTGAAGCAGTGGCCATAGTCTTATTCGTGCTTTTGCTTCCAAATACCCATGCCTGGGGAGAGGAAGGACATGCCATTGTTTGCAAAATTGCTCAGGTACGTTCACATATCATGTCGGAATCATAAATTTACTAAAATCAATACAGTGAAGAAAGAAAAAGATGTATAATTATTCTTTGCCAAAACTTTCTTGAATTGATTTGATTTTGAGCAGGCTCGACTGAGCAGTCCAGCTGCAGCAGCTGTGAAGAAACTATTGCCAAAATCTGCGAACAATGACTTAGCCAGCAAGTGTTCATGGGCTGATAGTTTGAGGGTGGTTTTTCCTTGGTCCTCTGCTTTGCACTTTGCAGATACTCCTGACAACGCTTGCAACTACAAGGACAGCAGTAACTCCCTTCTTCTCTCAACTCTTTCTATCTATATAACAAAGTTTTCTTTCTTTTAACCATTTTTTTTTGATAATTTTTTTACTATGTTTATGTCGTGGTGTGTGATTGGTCTGTTTCAAATATACGAGTCAATAAAACAGTAACACACTGTAAAAAAATTGTTTCAAAAAGTTTTAACATATATTAGATTTTTTGTAAAACCTTACATACATATTAAAATGAATCTTCAACATTCAGGGGATTGTGTAGACTTGAAAACTGGAATTAAAGGGCGATGTGTTGTATCGGCCATTACCAACTACACCAACCAGCTCCTGGAGTATGGAACCAAAACCAAATGTAAATATCAAACTAATGCTGTATTTATCCACATCATTTTCGACCTCACTAACAATTTTCTTTTCTTATATCAGATAATCTCACTCAGTCTCTGCTATTCGTTTCACATTTTATGGGAGACGTCCATCAGGTATATTTTTATATATGCATTTACTTGCATCTATTTTTCGAGTCATTCTATGGTCGCTACTGAAGTTTCAATCCATAACGCTATAATTAATGGAAAAAGAAGAAGGAAAGAATTAGGCAAGTTTTAGGTAGGAAAGTTAATTTTAGTACATTATAAGGTTTTGTTTATCAAAACTATTTGATAAGGTAGTTGAGAGTGATATGTATTAACTATTAGGTAATAGATTTCTAATTTATAGGTTTTAAATTGACAAAATAATTTATTAGATCAAAAGTATTTGATTAACTAGCTAATAAATTAGTTGATGAATATAAATTATATAAGTTTTAGTGTGTGAGTTAAATATTTATGCTTCTTTTAAAAAATATTTTATTATGAAATTATATTTATATATATATTTTTAAAATGTTTAAATTCTTAATTAAACTTTTTACTAGTTTTTTATTCCTTAAAAGTTTAATAAGTTTTTTTTTAGTTTGAATAGGGCGTTTTATTTAAATGAGTTTATATAATGAATATCAATTAAATTTATTTTTAAATTTTAATTTAAACTCTCTTTATAATTAATTGTTTTTATAATTTTTACTGTGTATACTTTTGACATATTATTTATAATGAAGCATTAATAAATTTAATTTGTAATGATAATTCTTTTTAAACTTGAAATGCATAAAAATTAAAAAGTAATTTCACAAATAGTAAAAATAATACAACAATTAATTATTTTATAAAATTAAAATAAATAATAAAGGGTAAAAGTATAATAAAGATAATAAAAAATATATTAAAATATAAATACGTAGTAATAGAGAAAAGTTAAATTAGTTATAATTTAGAAATTACAAACGGGCTAATTTATAAATTAGAAACTTCTGAATAAACTATTTGATGTATTTTTCATACTGGTTAAATTAGCCTCAAATGTTACTTTTAGTGGTTTATCTTTTATTGTTATTAAGTTTTTGCATATTTAGTTCTAAAATTTTTCTTAAAATAGTTTTTTAAGAAACAAATTCACAAATATTGATTAAAAAAAAGTAATGGATTAAAATAAGCAATAGGAAATGTTTCATATAAATTATAACATAATAATACTTTGAGACATTTTTTATTTTTAACATTCATTTGACACGAGACTCATCTTTCTTGAATTTCCAAACCATCACAATACATAACTTAAAAATTTAATGACACTTAGCGTGTGAAATGAGTCTTTTTACCATGTTGTTAAAGTATCACTGCTTAAATTATAAATGAAAAATGATACTTTGACACATAAATTTTTTACATTTATTTGACACTAACCTCTTTTACTTTTTCTTTCTTCTTTCTTGATAAAATACAAAAGTTTATAACTATTTTATTCTTATATTGTGTGTCAAATAAATGTAAAAGTGTATGTGGTTGTGAATACCTGCATGAATTTAAATGGATGGAACTCCAACATTGATAATAATATTACTTTTTTATTTTAATTATGCGCTTTATGGATAGCCTCTACACTGTGGCTTTGCATCAGACAGGGGTGGCAATGACATCAACGTTCGCTGGTACAGAAGAAAGGAAAATCTTCACCATGTACGTTAAATTACAATTTTCTTCAACCATATAACATCATCATCTCTGTTCCTGCCATATAATATATATACCATATAATATATATACCATATAATTATATGTGTACAGGTTTGGGATGCAAACATTATTGAGACAGAAATTGAAAGATTCTACGACGATATTGACGATTTCGTTGATGCAATTCAAAAGAACATTACGGTATGGTGTGAAGGTTCTTCTGTTGTCTTCAACATAAGGATTTGTGAGTTGAATTTTGATTTTTTGTAGTCTATTTTAATGAACAGAAAGCATGGGCTGATGAAGTAGAAGAATGGGAGAACTGCAGAAACGACGACGTATCATGCCCAGCTATGTATGTCCCTTAAAATCCATTACTAAGATCGTTCATCATTGCATAAAAAATATCATGACTAACATCTCATAAACTTGGTTTTTTTTTTTATTCCTTTTTGTTTCAAAGAATGTTTGTATTCGCTGTTAATTAACATGGTAAATGTTTTAGATATGCTTCTGAAAGTGCAGAAGATGCCTGTGCATGGGCATATGAAGGTGCCCCTGAAGGTTCAGTACTGGATGGTAAGCAATGGTAATTTCGATAGTATTGTGAAAACCTCTCTTTTGTCTTATTCTGTTCTAACTATACCATCAAAATGCACTCTGCAGATGAATACTTCTTTTCTCGTTTTCCGATAGTCAATTTGCGGTTAGCTCAAGGAGGAGTTCGATTGGCTGCAACTCTTAATCGTATTTTTGACACAGTATCTCTAATGTCAATGTAATTTATTGAAGGTTAGAAATAGATCAACAATTTCCATGTTATAATAGAATAAACCGTAAAAGCTAATTTGTTCAACTAGTTTGTGTGTTTTAAGATTTTAGGTAACTTTGCTGATTACGAAAAGAAAGACATTGGGAGGGGCCGCTCATGAGCAATTTGATATCATATTATAGGTGCTTTCATTGAATCAAATAAATGAGAATGATGATACTGAATTCATTAAAATGTGGCATGCATCAAACTTTTAAATCATAATTTAAATAGGTGAATTTAAGATGTATTAAAATAAGAAGAAAAATGTTGTGTGATAATTTTTCGGAGAGGTGAGACTTGTAATTGCAATAAACAATTTATTTGGTCATCAGTGAATGATTGGACAGACTTATAATGGAAAGAAAAATAAGAAAAAAATATCATAAGTTAAATTTCATTCATGGATTATTTAAGAAAATAATATGAAGAACTTTTCATAAATTAATTTATATAATAAAATTTTAATTTATAAAAAAAAAAGTTGTTAACAACAAAGGAAGAACTGAAGTAAATGATGTTTTAATGATGAAGTTAACTTTTTGTTTGAAGATCAGTAGAATTTGTAGTTCAATTTGTAGTTCAATGTAAAACTTTTGTATTTGTACTTGTAGATTAGACTTAGCATAGAAAGATACACGATCTATTGGAGAGACCATAAGGATTTGTATTTGTAAAATAATCGATTATCACTTGAGATAATCTCTTATTAATGGCAGTTCTGAAAAGGCTTTTCAGCTTCACTCGGACAACAATAAAAGGAAGCGCACTTGCTGATTATCTAGCATATCAGGGCAATTGATGATTATGAGCCTAACCAACTTTCATATTTGAGTTTATAAATAGTTTGTCTCTGAATGTTTTTGAAACTGTTAATCCTTTTTTAATAGTTTAGTGCTTGTGCTGAGAAACTCTTTGTGTTCTAAGTTAAGAGCTTGTAATACCTAGTGTTGGTAGAAGGAAGTGCTTCCACTAAGTGTGTCGAAGTGAGTGTAAACATCTGTTGTGCCTAGGATAAGTTTTCCATCATTTGTGTGTCAAAGGAAGTGTTGTTCATCTCTTGTACCTTTAACAGAGGTGTTTTCTAACATTTACTCTACTCTTTTGTTATTGTAAGTTCTAGTTATTTTTAGTGATTAATTAATCCCTCTTTAGATATATTAACAATTGGACATAGACTCTTTTGATCCAAGCATAAAACTACATGTGCAAATTTCTCTTTCCCTATACTCTTTACTTTATTGTTCTTGTGTTAAAAGAATTGATTTTTGTTATAAAATAAATTTATGAGAAGGAAAAAAAATTTAAATTTTTTTAATTAGTAAATCAATTCACCCTTTTGATTTTATCTAGGCTTTAATATTCCATTGCACGATTCTAACAAAAGTTAACCTTATTTTTATTTTTATTTTCTTTCATAAAATAGTTCATAGAGAACTAAACTCATATTGTTTTTGTATTTTTAGATTTTATTTAAAGAATCTTATAAGTTTTTCTACTACACATAGTGTCAAAATTAGTCATGATCGGAAGAAAAATAAAATGCTTAAACGAAGAATAATTAATTAAGATAATTTTTTAAAAATAATTATCCAAATGGATTCAAACATGATAATTTACGAATTAAGCTCTCATTTGTATTTATAATACGAATTTAATTTATTAAGAATTAAATTTTGGTCCAGTTTTCCATTTTTTTCTTATCTTTTTCCATATAAAATGATAGGCTCCTCCTCAAGTTAGTTTGAGTCAAAGCAAGAAGATGAATGTATGGTGGTAGAAGTGGCATAAAGCTTTGAAGATAGCGGTGGTTGCTCTCGGTTTTGGTGGTTTAAGTGATGGAATGGAGATGGTTATGGTTGATGATGCTCTTAGAGAGGTTGGACCAACTCCATAGATGGGTGGCTATAGGGATCTCATGGGATGCTCTAATCATGACTTAGAGACAACTTAAGAATGAGTAAAAAATTTGGTAGCATTTCATTACTAATTTCAAAGTGGATTTATAATGGGAGAGACACCTTTATTTATAGATGAAGGTGTCTCCAAAGTGGACCAAAACCTAAAATGCTATCTTGCACCAAACCCTAAAAAATCTATCTTGGTGAATGACAACTTGACACGTAACACTAACTTTTAGAAAAACTCTCCACTACTAGAGTGTCACGTGGAAAGCCACTTTAGCAAAAGTTTCTCCACTTGGAAAATGACACATGGTCACTACCATTATAAGAAAACTCTTCACTAAGAGCTTGTCATGTGGAACGTCACTTTAGCAAAAGTTATCCACTAGAAAAATGATACATGATCATTACGTTTATAAGAAAACTCTTCACTATGAGTTTGACATGTAGCCACCATGTCTCATGACACCCTCCACTAAGCTAGATTACAAAACTAATCACCCAATATTAGCTTAAGCTAGGCACAAATATTTCCCTACAACTTAAGCAAGATTGTTTAAAAATCCTACACTACTTGACCCTTAATACAAGGCCTAAAAAGAAATCCTACACTACTTGATCCTTAATACAAGGTCTAAAAATAATTCATGATAGCCCAAGTGAATAAGAGTTTAGCTTATTTAATTTGGGACAAATATATCTTTAAATATTTTATTTGAATTTTTTAAATAATTATCTTATTTAATAGATAAAAAATATCAAAAGATAATAACTACCAAATCTTTTGAAATCTAACATAATCTTCTTAAATATTTGTAAATCTTCATAGAGGGTTTGAATAGTGTTTCAAAACTTTTCGCAAAAACAATGTTTAATAATAATTACGAGTGTTGGATAAACTACAGTAGTTGTTAGAGGCTTGTGTTTTCAAGGAAGCATTTAGGAAAACGTTTTAAACAGAAAATTAATAACACACTTATTTTTATATTGGATCACTCAACTTAAGGTACGTCAAATCTCTCTTATGACCTCTTAAAGGGTTCTACTAATCTTATCAACCACTTTTGGTTCCCCTTGTCAACATGACTAGTCTAAGTTTAATCACTCCAAGTATCAACCCTAGACAACTTGTTTAGAACGTTTAGCTCAACTAAGTTAAACAATACACGTATTTTAATTCATTTCTGATTATACAAACACAATCAGTGTTTTGATTACAAGTACATATTCAAATAACTCTTAAAGAGAGGATAAATTCAATAAAATAAAATTTGATAACTTGAAAGACATTTCCTTGTTCTTAGAACAGACTCAGACGATGTAAGCTTCTGAAGAGAATAACAACGTAACAATTCAATGATTGCAAAAGTTCTTCTTTTCTCTTTAGGGAGTCCTCCTTATAAAGTTTTCTTCGAGAGATGACCATTACTTAGAGAGAGTTGACATTCTTAAGAGTAAGTGACTTCTTGTGTGAAGATTTATGCTTCTCTGCATCTTGGGAAGAGCAACACTACTTTAGTAGTGAGAGCTTATACGATTATTAAAGTAGGACATAAAGCTTTAGGAAACATTCCAAGAATGTCTTCCTTATTTCACAACATCTTTCTGATCCATGTGCAGTGTGCTTTTGAGTAAAACTTGATATTGTCATTATCTACACAAATAAAGAAAGAAAGGCAAACAGAAGTACATTACGTTCATGCATTTATTATTCTAATGTCTCATGTAAATGTACTTATATATGTTTTTGTTGGTAAAAAAGTGTATTAGATCATTAAGTCTTAACATGGTGGCATAGTAAACATTTTTGGTGTGCAGTTCGTGTCTTTATTATTCCTTCAAAAAAATTGTGTAAATAATGTGTAAAGTTTAAAAGAAATATCTACAATAATGTGGTAAATGACAAACCTTTTCAATTAAATCCTTTAACCTAATATTGTAAATATCATGTTTTAGATATTTGCTACCAAAACTTAAGTTTAGTGCTCAATCTCTTAATATAAGAAAAATATTTCTTTTAAAAGAAAAGTCAACCAAATTAAAAAAATTCAACAAAAACTTTTTTCAATAAAATCAAAATTATCAAAGGATACTTATTCAACCTGCAAAATCTCTCATTGAAAAGTTAAATTCATAATATTGAATTTAATGCCAATTACTAGATTAAACTCTTATCACTAAGACAAGTTATACCAAATAATTAGAATATAATTCTTTCAACTTAACCAATAATGATCAAACATTGACTTGACTTATCTAACTTATAGTATGAAACAATTGATACATGATATAAGAGTATAATTTGAAGAAAGAAATTAAAAACGAATAGATAAAAAGTGTATTGGAAAAAATGAGAAACCAATAATGGATAAAATTGCATTCTTAGTAGTTTGGTGGAGTAAAAATATAGAAAGATACCTTTTGTTAATTAAGTAATATGACAAATTTATTAGGAGATAAATTATTTAAATAATAAAACTAATTACTTACTTTTTTTATGTCCAAACATATAGTAAAACAATATTTTCTATTTTCATTGATCTTTTCTATCCTCTTCACATATAATAAAATATAATCCGTCTCCTTGATCACCTAACACAGTGTTTAAAACGTGACAATTAATAATTATAAGAAAAAGTGTATAACGCAATACTCTATCCAGATCACACGTTATATGTCTAGTTTCTTTTGGTAGACAAAAATAATCGACATCATCAAAATTTCCATCTGCTCGCGTACAATACTTTATAATATCGTCCAACGTCCATTATTTCTGTACACATTGCATTCATATCAGCAGTGCCTAGCTGGGTGTCAGAGCACAGATCCTTGGAATGCAAAATTCAATGAATGTTGATTGGGTTGTTAACATTTATGGATTAAAGTTAAAGATTTTGAATTCTTCAAAGCTCTGACAGTACAACATAATTAAATCAAAACAAAGACAAAACCAGTACTTTTAGAAAAGTTGTCTCCTCTCTACAGCTCACTAAAACTGACAGCACATCTTTTCTATTTTTTTAATATTCATCAACATTTAAAATATTAAGTAATATATATATATATATATATATATATATATAAAAGTAAAAATTATAAATATATATGTTACAAAGAAAAAATATAAAAAAATTATATTTGACTAAAGTATATAAAATACAAATGTATGTATGTGTACATAAAATAAAAACATTATTGTTCTAAAATATAAAATACAGATGTATGTATATCTACTATTATTGCAACGAACAAAACAATATATCAACCGTATTGACAATTGTCACGGAATGG